GGCCCTCCTGGCTCCCACCCCGTAGGGGCACTCCTTCCTCAGGTGTCCCCTGTGCCCACAGGCAAAACAAGTTTTCAGGCTCAGCCCCTACCCCCAACTCTTGGAGCCTGGTTTACTATGGAGTCCAAGGTCACCCCTTTGTCGTGGCCCACTCCCCTTTTCCCACGGCCCAGCCTGTAGGGCCTCCCAGGCCCTCCAATACTTATTCATTATCTACTTCCCCTCCTCCCCCAACTCCCTGTTCGAGTCCTGTGGTCTACCGACCACTATTTATTCACAATAAACCCCCTTTTACCTTAGGGTGGGGTATCAGCGCCCGCATCCTCCACCATCTGTCAGGGGTGCAAGCCCCCCACTGTGCCTCACTGCCCCCTGACTGTCCTCATATAGCCCCTCTCAGGGCAAGTTACAGTCTGTATGGGTTGCTCATCATTGGCATTTGTCGCAATGGCTCTACTTACCTAGTCGGCCTCCTGATCGGCCCGCAAACCAGAGTCTTTGTCTCCAGCCCCTAGTTAAGGGGAGTCTTGGCTGGCCTACTTCCAGCCTTTGCTGGCTCTCCCCAGCTTGTCTCCCTCCAAGGAGCTCCTGCTTCCTCTGCAGTCAGCCCTCCACTGGCTCCCCTTAAGCATACTATGCTTCTCCATTTATAGCTGTCAGCTGGGCTCTCACTCGCCCTAATGGGTTCAGCTGGCTTCTACAAGCCAATTGTGCTGCCCTAGATAGTTGCCAGCTGGGCTTTCCCTAGCCCAAACAGCTCCAGCTGGCCTCTTTCTTTCTAGCCCTGGCTCAGGGCCTGAGTCCTGGTCTTAAAGGGCCAGTGCAGGGCAGGCGCCCTGTCACACCCTCCCTCCCGCCATTATGTGGTTTGGCACAAATAGGGTGCCTAAGGAGGAGGGCTCAGATGTCATCATAGCAGTTGTGATGGGTAGGGGAAGATATGGAAGATCCGGTGTGGCCAGCCAAGGGGCTAGAGTTTTGGTCCAACAAAGTGTCAGAGTCAAGTGTCTGTACTTGATGTTGAGTGGCCGGGATAGGTTGGGGATGCTGCTTGTGTACCACCCACCTTGCTATACGGCAGATGCTCGGCTCAAGCTGGCCAACATGGTCTCGGCTGTGGCATTGAGGATGCTGAGGCTTTTGGTTTTGGGGGACTTTAATATCCACACTAAGGCTGTTCTGTCTGGTCCGGCCTGAGATTTTATGGATACCATGACCATCCTGGGACTATCCCAAGAAATAACTAACCCAACACATGTTGCAGGTCATACACTTGATTTGGTTTTTTGGACTAAAGGTGATAGACTTCTTGGGACAAGGGATGTGGCTACACTCCCTTTGTCATGGACGGATCACTACCTGGTCAAGTTTAGACTATCTGCTGACCTACCGCTCCACAGAAGCAGAGGACCAGTTAAGATGATCCGCCCTCAGACGCTGATGGATCCGGAGGGTTTCCTGAGGTCCCTGAGGGATTGTTCAACCATTATGGTAAATGGTCCTGTAGATGCCCTAGTCGATACATAGAAGATTGTGGTAGCCCAGGCAGTTGATATGATTGGACTGAAGAGGGCACTTAGGAACAGTCGAGTCAAGTTTGCTCCTTGGTTTTCTGGGGAGCTGAGGGCAGCAAAACAGTTCGTGTGACAGCTGAACACCGCTGACGGAGAACTAAAGCTGAGTCCGATTGACTGCGGGTTAGAGCTGGACTGCGAGCTTACTCTGTGGTGGTGCTGACAGCGAAGAAAAGATACTTCTCCACCTGTATTACATGTGCATAATGCTGTCCAGCAGAACTGTTTCGAGTAGTGTGGGGCCTGTTGCAGTCTGGCACTCATGAAGAAATAGAGGAGCCTTTGCTCTGCTCCCCCCCCCCCCCCCCCCCCCAGCCACTAGGGGTGTTTTACAAAGAGGAGGGAGAAAAATTGCTCCCCTTGGCCTCTGAGGACAGGACACAAAGCAATGGGCTTAAATTGCAGCAAGGGAGGTTTAGGTTGGACCTTAGGAAAAACTTCCTAATGGTCAGGATGGTTAAACACTGGAATAAATTGCCCTGGGAGGTTGTGGAATCTCCATCACTGGAGATATTTAAGAGCAGATTGGATAGACATCGATCAGGGAATGATGTAGATCAGTGGTCCCCAACCTTTTGAGGTTGTCGGGCACCAGGGGGCGTGGCCGTTTGCCCGCCGCGCGCCCGGGGGCGGGAATAAGATCTCCCGCATCTGGTTGGATTTGGACTCTGGTTGCTGTGTAAGTGGGGCACAGAATGTGTTGAGTGCACCCCCCAGTCTTTTTTCTCTGGATCAATTTCAGCTATTGCAGACTGAGGACGTGGACTAGGTGCTTGGAGGAGTGCGACCGACCACATGCTCACTTGACCCCTGCTCTTCATGGCTTATTAAATTTAGCCAGAAAGGGATGACTGGCTGGATCTAGAGGATTATTAATGCGTCTTTTAGATCAGGTATGGTTCCTGCTGCCTTGAAAGAGGCAGTGATAAAATCGTTACTCAAGAAGACTTCCCTGGACCCACATGCCTTAAATAACTATCACCCAATTGCTAATATTCCCTTTTTGGGCAAGGTACTTGAGCAGGCATTGGCATTGCAACTCCAAGCTTTCTTGGAAGAAAGAGATTGCTTAGATCTAATCCAGTCTGGCTTTAGGCCTGGTTTTGGAACTGAAACATCCTTGGTTGCCCTTGTAGATGTTTTATGCCAGGAGATAGACAGGGGGAGTGCTTCCCTGTTGATTCTCTTAGACCTCTCAGCAGCCTTTCATTCCATTGACCATGATATCCTTCTGGG